TCTGGTAGCGGCGGATCTCGCGCAGCGCCACGGTGCCGGGCCGGTAGCGGTGAGGCTTCTTGACGCCGCCGGTGGCCGGGGCGCTCTTGCGGGCGGCCTTGGTGGCCAGCTGCTTGCGCGGGGCCTTGCCGCCGGTGGACTTACGCGCKGTCTGCTTGGTACGAGCCATGAGTAATCACCAGAGCCCTCAGGAAAARGAACTGAAATGGGGCTGCAAGGACCTGAATTTATACTGACGATCTCATCCTGATTGGTCAGAGCTGTTGCAGCTGTAACTTGATTGGCTTCTAATTCAATCTTTGTTTCTTACCCCCTCCTCCGAGCCGTTTTCCTCTGAGCCATTTTTCTCTTCTGAGAGACTTATTTTGTTTACGGTTTCAAGCAAATAAGATCTAATGAAAATAGAATTGGAATTGGAATTCGTGGGAGTCAGTCTAAACTGTTCTTAAACCAAAGCATTTTTTGAAGCTTTGTTTCCTATTTCAGATAAATTGAAAAAGTTACGAGTAGAATGATGCAATCGTTAGTATATAAAAGTGTTTCATAACTACTTTTAACGATTGTACCAAAGCCCGAAAAAAAAAAAAGTTTGAAAACAGATTGGCACAGTGGCTGGCTCCTGGAACATGAAAACTTGTTTGTCTTGCCTGGTGTGGGGAAGTAGTGGTTGGGGCGCGTGGGGCGAAGGGTTAGAAATGTGCTCGACTGTGATACCAATAGTATCTGACATAACTGAGGGTCATGAAGTCAAATGGTTGCTTGGTTCAAGGTTCCCTTACTATCCGCGGAGTGATGTTTGCATTGATGTATACTAAGGTCTTTTACAGTAAATATAAGCAGACCTGAAAGGCCCTTTGTTAGGAAGGAATTCTAGTTGACTATGAGACCATCAAGCTCTCCTATAAAAAAAAATCCTGAAAAATTAGTCATCTTAACATCACACTCACTGCGGCAAATCACAAAAATGCTTATATGACGACCCGGAAATATTTAGAGSAAGGGGACGATATAGAATGGGAGGGGGGTTCTATTCAAAGTGAATCTTCAAAGCACTCTTCTTGATCTTACTACTCCAATATGCTTAAAACATAACCGTGCACCTCTGACATTCAGAGAATAAAGTGCTGAGTTCTTCCTCAGAAACGGTGGGTGGCTCTGAAAAGAGCCTTTGGTTTTAGGAAGGTTAGGTTATAGGGACTTCACTTTCCCTTGGCCTTGTGGTGGCTCTCGGTCTTCTTGGGCAGCAGCACAGCCTGGATGTTGGGCAAGACACCGCCCTGCGCGATGGTCACTTTGCCCAGCAGCTTGTTGAGCTCCTCRTCGTTGCGGATGGCCAGCTGCAGGTGGCGCGGGATGATGCGCGTCTTCTTGTTGTCGCGGGCCGCGTTGCCAGCCAGCTCCAGGATCTCGGCCGTCAGGTACTCGAGCACCG